TGCCTTTCTCAGTATTTCTCCTCTTCCTTTGGCCCAGCTGGTGCAGGCCATGACCATATGCTTCACATTTTGGGACGGATATCCACATTGGCATCGTGAACTGTCTACTCCCGGAACTTTTCTTCTGTGCAGATAGGAATTGAACCCAATGTGTTCGCTTCTTATCTGTATAGCTATGCTGCTCTGGGCCCTGTTAAGGTGTTTATGGATACTAGAAGGTGTTCCTCTTTGGCTCATTCCTGTCTTTCCCGTCTTTTCATCTGTAAAAAGGTTTACTGCGTTCCAGATTTTGGGATCTGCTGTGGCGTGGTGGTTAGTAGTTTGCCTGGCTGTTAGTCTCGTCCAGAATCGTTCCCATTCTCTAAAAGCTGCAACCTTCCCAGCCGCTTTCTGTCCTACTTTCGTCTCTATATTCTCACATGTTTGACCCCACTCCGCAATATCCAAGGTCCTCGTAACAGCTCGTGCGTCTTGCCTTCCAGCTCGGGGTTGCTTTATCTTCCTGCATGCTGACATTATTATTATTATTATTATTATTATTATTATTATTATTATTATTATTATTATTATTATTATTATTATTATTATTATTATTATTATTATTATTATTATTATTATTATTATTATTATTATTATTATTATTATTATTATTATTATTATTATTATTATTATTATTATTATTATTTTAATCGGGTCTCAAGATTACTCCACTCGTTCTCTAGCCAAATGTAAGTGACTAGTGTATTGTAGACAACAAGCTCCGGCACCCATTCGCTAAAGGTGAAGCATGAACTGTCGAAAACTTATGAAATTCAACGTTGAGACCCGGATATAATTCTAGTTCATCTCAAACGCGATATGAGTGAAGGGTAAACTCCTAGGTAGAAGCGGATGAAGTAATGACTCTCCTTTTAAGCTAGTGTTGAGTGAGGTTACTGGGAGATTGCAAAAAATAATCTGTAGATAAGTTTGGGATTAACACAAAAATTTCAGCGCAGTTCCCGCCAACTAATAGTCTTCACTGGATTATCATTATTAATTTAATTTATTGTCCTGTCTGAGTCTATGACAATGTAGGACATGCAGGTCCCCTCTGCCTACAGGCCAAGGATACCTATGCCAGTAGTATATCCCATCCTATGCCTCCCATACAGCTCCCCTCAAACAGTAACACCCCTCACAAGTCCTCATTCAATCATACACTCAAAGGAGCTCTTTGCCCTTCATTATCTCCCCTTCCCAGCCCACGAAACGATGGACATTTGCGGGTGTATGGCAGCCGGGAAAAATCGCAAAAACCACTGGGTATGGGGCTCTTCTGAGACCGACATTAGGACTAAATCCGAAGACATAGTGCCCCTTCTGAAGCGTTCGAAGAGGCCGGCCAGCTGGGCACTGTATACTTGTGTGTACCTCGGGAAATTCACTCTCTGACTTTCTAGCCTCCTTCCAACTCCTTCCCGAAGGTCGTGGTGAAATGTCAGAAAAGTCTTGACAGAGCGTGATTGCTGTATAGTAGCTTAGCCCAACTTCTTTTGTGCCGTCCAGGGTGCTGGGGAGTGCCGTTGACTCATCGACAATAGAGGTTCTCCTGGCTAATTAGCCGAAATCTCGGTTTTGGCGTCCACAAATGTTCCAAAGTTGAAACCACTCGAAAATATCGGTCCTAGAATGGTCTTCAGAGACCTGTTCCCCCTCCCCCTCCACATCTCAACCGCTTGTTCTTCCCCAAGCTGTTTGTCCCGTTAGAGAAACATTCCTCCATAAGCCAAGACCCAGGCTTTGTATTTTTCGACTTGATTTCCTCCTTTCGAGTACAAATAACGTCGTAAATATGTAGTTAGAGATGGCTGGTGATTAATGGGGCAAGCTCCTGTATGCAATTGGAGTAACTCCTTTATTGAACGTTGAGGCGAGATGATGCGTGGTTAGAAAGAGGTTGAGGACTCAGAAGATAGTGGTGAGTACTGCATGATTGAGAAGTCGTCAAATGGAGATATGCATGTGTTTGCTTTCGACTTCGATTTGGGTGCGATTCTTCTGGGCTATCCCAGATATGAAGAGCATATTGAGCGATTACACCGGCACCACTGGAAGGTGAAGAATTGTCTTCGCCGGCTCTTCAATGGACTAATTTTGGTGTATTTTCATTGCAAACATTTTTGTCGTAGACTTTCCACTACGACGAGTCAGCATGGCCACGATCCGCTTTTGAAACTCAAGGCAGTTACGAGTGTTCGGCGTTCTAGACTCGCATTTTCTTGCTGACGAGCTTGCCGTGACCACTTGCCTCATAAAAACATGAAGGTTAAACCGCAAAGTTTATCTATTCGAGTAGATTTCAACCTTCTGCTCATACTCAATCTTGCACCTGATATGCGGCTTGGAATGTAGTGCAAAACCTGAATATGGTTGCCTGGCTTACAAATATTAAGACTCCTGAGGCACCCACATTATTCATTTCCATCAGTTTGACGCTGGCGCCAGGGGCAAGAATACTACATTTGTTTATGTCGAGCCTTGCCAGCGTGAGGTCTACCATTCCACAACCCAGCAGTCTTCGACCGAATCCAAGCTGACTAGGCCGAAGCTAAGGTACAACCTATGCCTTCGGCATTCCACACATTCAAGCTCATTCCCATGGCACAAGCTACCGACGACACACAGCAGGCTACTGCAACTCCTACGCCCTCGACACCCCAAAAACCTCCTCGTCAGTCACAACCGCCACGTTATTTGACCTTGCACCATACCGAGGTCTCATCCAGCTCGACAACTCCGACCAACTTTACCCCGTCCGATCCGCGCATGAATCCGCCTCCCCTGCCTCGTACTCTCATAACACCATCCCGCGAAATACGCGAAAGCTCCGTCGTCTCGTCGGGCGGGAGTGCGCGCAAGCCGCGGCAAAATCTAGACGAGCGCGATCATCTCCTGATGCTCAAACACTGTTGCGAGCAGCGTGAACACTACAAAGATGGAACCAAGGCGCAATTTTGGACTGGCGTTGGAAATTCCTTTCAGCGAGATACAGGAAAGGTTCTAGCCCAGATGAGTGCTACCGTCGGCCGACTTGTCGAGAGTCGTCGTCGCCAAATAGCTGACTGGGAAGCCGGCATTCTGTCTCAAAAACCGGGCGGCGAACTCAATGACCTTCTAGATCAATGGATGGAATTCCTCAGGGCAGAAGATGGCGAGGCCGAAGCTGAGCGTATGAGACAAGTCGACTCGCGGCGCAAAGTGGAGGAAGCTAGAAAGGAAGCGCGCAGACAAGCCATCGCAGCCGAGTCTTTGGCCATCTCCATGACTGCGGCCAATCCTTCAGAACCATACGAGCCGCAAGAATCCATTGAATCCTCCGGAACTCAACACCAGACAACACCAGGCCCTAAGCCATTCAATGGCTCATTACCCCCAACACCTGATGCTCAGCAGTTTTCACTTTCATCGCAGCAGCAATGTGCAGACTTGGTGGTAATAAATGGCCATCAGGATCCGCCGGACCTGAATGATTTCCGATCACAAAAGAGAAAGCGTGAAGGCGAACAACAAGATCGGCCTCGTGATTTCAAGGAGCAGCTTGAGCAGCAACGGCAACAGTGGCATGCCCAACAGCGGCATGTCCAACAGCAGGCCAGCCTCCCCCATCGTCACACTCCCCATCCATATAGTTTGCAGATACCCCCCGAATCACCCCGGAGAGTTGTAGTAGAGGGACAACTGACGAAAGATGACTGGCGAGACCTAATGGGAAGTGATGCGCGTTTACAAGCACTCGAAGTCAAACTCGGCAGAATAGAGACTCTCGTCTCACAGAACAACAAACTGCTGTTACAACTGATTCAAACCCGCATCAAGGATAAGGATTCTAGTTCAGATGAGCCACTAACACATCAAATCGATACAGATTTTGATCAAGATTATATGTGAGCATCTCAAAGCCGCACCAGTCTACTTGCTGAGAATTCAGAAAACCTGAATGCCCTTCCAAAACGACATAATCACATGGTTGATCGGCTGGATTTTATCGTGGCCTTCCCTATCTGCCAATATTCCATCACCTGGCCCCCGATTGTCCCGCTTGAGGCTGTGGGGACTAAGAAACAAAAAACCATTCCTGTCGACACCCTACCTGACGATTATCTGCCTAACCACTCCTCACAGTATCATACAGCCTACCCACAAAATTACTGACCGCGAACCCACCAAATAAAGTGTTTCACGGTCGTGGTGACTACCGCTGACTCATACGCAATGTTAGTTTGCCTATCACCATATTGTTTAGGACTGTTGTCTTGAGCAGCACACTTAATCACAGACAAGTCGGTGGAAAGGTATCGTAGCGCCCGGAATAGAGTAGATTTTTGAAAATTCATCCAATGGCTGACCAATACGCTATTTCGGTAAGATTTATACGGGACAAAGGTGGGTGATGGTCAGGTTGACCCAGTAACTTGCGGTTAGTGGGACTACTTCAGACTTAATTACAGTTCAGGAAGGCTCAAGGGATGAATTCCGGCTCGGTCGCTACGTAAAGCTGAAAGGATTTATTATCAACAAAGTAGATTCACCGTCGGACTTAATCAATAGCTGCTAACGAATGAGCATACATTTACTTATCATAACCCAACAAAATTATTTCCGCATAACAAATCTCAGTTTTAATAACACTATTTTGCCACCGAAAAGAGTAAAATTACTGTCGATTCAAGGCTCGATGAGTACCAATTTTAAATTGTCATGGCATTGAATAAAAAATTTAGCTAATGGTTATGTCCGAAATGCTAAAATTCCCTGGAAGAGGGGTTTGTAGAGATTGTGGAATAGCTGTCAAAGCAAACGGTAAAAAAGGCATAAATCGTGAATAGAAGTTCCCACGTGATATGGTGAATTTTGGTTAGTATATGCGTAGTGTTCAGCTACAACGAAGGAAAGCTTTTGCCCAGATACGGAAATTAGGCTACTCTCCCCTTCTAGACTTCAGTAGAGCCGAAGATATCTCATGTAACCCTTGAGTAGCGACTTTGAGTGGAACTATGTAAGTGACCTACGTCATGCCGACCTGCGTGTATTATTAGAAACAGCGCATCTCACAAGGTTAATTGATCAAACATACCGTCACAACATGCTCGCACATTCTCTAACTTATCAGATTCACGATCTTGCTTTTCGATAATTTCTCTGACATCTTCGGCACTATCGTGAACTTGACTGGCTTCGTAGATACTCTCATTATTCTCGGAGCTATATCTGCTTTGTCGACTGGAAAGGCTTCCTACAACTCCATCTTTGCCAGGTCTCCAGTAGCTACTGAGCCTAGAAAAAGTCCCTGCAGTAGGTGGATAAGACCTGAGACCAGTTGCATGAGGAGGATTTTCGAGAGGCTCGTTTTTTGTTGTACGACTATTATAGGAGGATAGCGAAGCCATTCCTGTTCGTTGATTTGTACGTTCGGGATTGAACTCTGACACTTCTTCGTGTACAATGATTCCAGGTGTGCCCTGGGATGTAGCTTCTCCGGTTCGTAACAAAAGATAAGACAGGGAGTTGAACCAAGTTTCATGTCGCTGTCCCGTAGTCGCCGTAAATTTAATAGCTCGGCTCGGAGTAATAATGATTAAACTTTTACGATGGAGCCCTGGAGGCATAGGGTTGTCATCCGTTACGACTCGCACAGCCTCTATGGGAACGCTCTTGGCTCTCAATTCGGCGCGGCCAGCAGAAGATGGGTCACGGTCGCTCCAGTAAAGAGTCTTTGTATACGGATGTACCCAAAAGTAGCGCCTATGACGTTTCTCCGACATTACTCCACGACCAGTCTTTCTAGTATATTTCCATAGATACTCTCCAATCATTGTTTGAGTGATTGCATTTATCATACGTGGATCTGTGCCAGAATGTATATCGTAGGCATTGTCTAATCCACGTTGCATTTGAAAGCGAGATTCTACTTCTGAAGCAAAGGAGGAAATTGAGGGATTAGTTGATTTTAACTTATGATTGAATTCTTGGGCCTCTACACCTGTCGGTACATTAATCGGCCGGGGAGTTGTACAATCTTCAAAGGAGAATGGGTTCAATTGATTAGCATTTGGTGTTGTAGGTCTATGCAATGGGTCAAATTTGTGAGTTGGGGTCAGCAATAATGTTGCGGGGTCTATCTTCTGATGAATGTTAGATTTTTGTAAATTAATTCGCTGGTTGTTTGATATGTTGTTTTGTTTTTTACCATCTTTGACTGGTTGATGATTACTGATTTTACTGTCGTCCTGAATCTCAGAGTTGTGCGACCGGCTCATAGGTATCTTGAGACGCACATCCTTAGTCGCAGCTAATCCTGTCTTGTTACTAGCAATACTCCCCATATTGTCAGACAATTTATCAGAGGGTTTCTCATAAATAGATGATGCCTGAGTTAATGACATGGATTTGAGGCACTTATCAGGTTTAGATTTTTCAATTTCTTCTCTTAGGATTTCACTAATCTGGCTCGCTGTCAACATCGTTTGTGAGCTTTCATCAACGTTTATTTGTTTAATGGGCCCCTGAAGACACAATTTGTCTGTGGAAGATTCATCAGCATATTTCTGTATTTTTTCATAATTCGTAAATTTTTTATTTGATGATGGTTGACCTTCTGGGATGCTAGAGAGTGATAGGTCTAGATCTTTGTCTAAATCGGATCCAAAGTCACAAATCTGAGAGATAGATGGCTTTGAATTATGAGAGTCTTCAATCTTGACAAAAGTACCTAGAGAATCAATTTTATCATCTTTGTGGACACGATTAATCTCCAATGGCTCAGTTTCCACGCTTTGTATTTGTGATAATACCATAGAACAAGGCGCAAGTATCTCTGATTTTTTATGGCAATTTTCAATCTGATCCTCAACTTCAAGCGGTTCAAAGTCGTTTGAGATTATAGTGGAAATGCTGAGGGATATATTTTTGGCTTCGCTAGTCGTTGTAGCTGAGTAACCAGATGACTGCGCCAAGTGTAACAAGTTCTTCTCACCAGAACACCTTTGGACTAATTCGTTCTGAGAGTCAATATCACTACATTTGGTTGTCAAAACAGAGCGAGTGACTGTATCTGCGGGGTTTGAGAAGTTCTCTGCACACCACTGACTTGATGCATCATTCATCCGGATTGTTGTTCGATCTGAAGGAGCTCCTAAGTTTCCTGCTTTCTTAAGTTTTTCTGAAAATATCGCGGTCGCGGTCGCGAGTCTGCTCTGAGAATCTACTTGATCTTTATGTGCTTGTGGAACCCAGGGTTCAGTCATTGTGCCGCTCTCGACCATATATGGCTTGGGTGTAGGCGGTAATGGAAGTATGTTGACACATCTTTCGGTTGTGAATATTGAATCTGGAGCAGCTGAGATGGAAACGTGACGGCTTGGTGTAGGGGTTTCTTGTAATGATTCCTCGTCTTCACTATTACCCATATCACCGATTTCGGCGAATAGGCTTTTTCCAGTTGCTTTAGGAGTGCCATTTCTGCTACTCGTCGCACGACTAGCTGGGCTACTCCGAGATTGAGGCTCTTGACTAGCTACTCGAGATCTTCGGCTACTACCATGTCCGACTCTTAAGCGAAGACGCGAGGGCTGTTTAGAATTAAGAGTCCGAGTCTCTTGGCTCCAATTGTAGTCATCGTCAGAAGTAGAGGCAGTACTGTGAAATGAGTGGCGATTTCCTGGCGATGAGAGGATACTACGACAAGCATTTGACCTTGTTATCCCACCAGACCCATACTCTGTCTCAGTAAGTTCTTCGCTAAATTCCTCTTCAGCTGTTCGTAATTCACCTCGACCCGAGTGTGTTTCCTCTGCAGTTTCGAAAGCATCACTAGTTTCTTGCTCGTTCGCGGTATCAAATTGGTCACTACTGTCAGGAGGTGAGCCAGTATTTCGGCTGGCTGAAGTAATTTCTGAATTTAAAGCTCTTACGGGAAGTTGTTGAACGGTTAACAGAGCATGGTGATCTGAATCCAGTTTCTCACAATCATCCTCCCAATTTGCATCATTGATGAATATCTCGCTTTTACTACTTCTGGAAAGACCGAGATGACCGGGGTTTAAGGGTTTTTTGACATCTTTAACCTCTCTTTTACGGGCCTTCTTTACATTACCTGATCCAGCATCTCTACGACGAACTTCCAGCTCATCTCTAGCATCTTGAAGTACTCGTCTGAGCTCTAATTTTTCGGATTTTTCCCGCTGTATATTGCTTTTAAGCGTTTGTATAGTTCGGTGTGCATGGTGTAGTGAGCTCTTTAGAGTTTCAGATTCAAGCATACTGTGACGCGGAGTTCCCTTGACAGGTGAAGGAGGCGGCGAATGCTCCGGAGTAAGATCATTTGGGGCAACTTCAAGGTCATCATCACCCATTCCTCGACTTTGATCGCGTTCCTCATATCTTCCTCGATTACTAGCGATAGCTTTAACAAGTTCATGGTTTTGACCGAGTAATTCATCGACTTTACGTCGCAGAGCTGCTCGTTCCGTCTCTACTGAGCTTAGCTGCCGTCTCATACTACTAAGTTCGGCTTCGTGATGCTTAAGGGTTGATGCATGGTCTTCAGAAAATTTAGCATGAATTAACTTTATTTCATCTAGTTCTTTTTGTGCAGCGGTCTTCTCAGCCTGAAGAGTGTTGAGGCTCTGAGCCAGTCGCCTCTCTCTGTCAGCCGCCACCTTCTCCTTGGAAATAAATTCATGAATTTGAGTTTCGAGAGCCCAATTCTCGTCTTTGTAGCGTTCTCCACTTTCACTGAGGCTTCGTAAGTGCTCTGCAAAGCTTTCCGCTTCTTCCTCAAGTCGCAACTTTTCTAGTGTGGTAACCTTTAAATGTTCCTCTTTTTCAAGCAGTATAGCTTGAAGATCTCGGAGTTGCGATAAGAGAGAAGTACTTATATCCGTGGCAAATTGGAGGTCATCATGGCGATTAGATGGTAGATTTCGTAGTCTTCTGTTGACGACGCCCAGCCTTGACGGAGAACCAACGCCTTGGAACTCAAGCCTTTCTTTAGATGGACTTCCAGAACGCTGTCCAGAATTAGAAATGTTTGTAGAATCACAGTAGCTCGATGTTACCTTTATTTCTTTTAGTGGTGATCCATTGAGCTCGGTACTTAGCACTCGAGATTTTGGTAAAAACGCTCGTGCAGAGTCTCGGCCAACTTCATTATACTCTTTTTCTATTTCAGCAAGTTTCTGTCGGAGTTCAGGCGATATTTCATCTTGGGCTTGTTGTCTTTGTACGTCTTCCAATCGCTCTGCGATGTCTTTTCGTTGCTGTATTAGTGCCTTTCCAAGGGTTGAAGCCTCCTGGATGCGTCTCTCGGTTTCAGCAAAATGCGCCTCTAATGCTCTTTTGACTTGATCGGGTGAAGTTGAAGGGCTAAGAGCAAATGATTCGTGATCAAAGCAAGAGAAGCGATGATGAGTTGAGTAAGCGGACTGGGAAAGGAATGGATCATTTTCAGATATTTCTTGTTTGGATTCGGGTGACTCTTGAGGGTGATCCATAGCTAGCAAGGTTGCCATGATCGCGAAGTAAAACCAATAACGTATTTTCCGAGTGTCATGGAACAGGATTAAAGCGTAACTAAGGCTTCTGGTTGGAAACGAGATGGTTGATATGCAATTTCTCTTGTGAATCGACTTTGAGATTGAGAATCAAAGCTGATCTATTAATGTCTGATATTTGCGCCCTTGGATCTGAGGGACAGAATCTGAAAAACACTGTAGTTAGCATATCATCAACCGGGAAAGAGCCGGTGCCCGGAGGGCGTTCAAAGGTTAGGAAAAGCGTTGAAATGGGCTGGATGATATTGTGTTGGAATTACGAACGGGGCACCGACGGAAGACTAGGCTAGATGTTGTGATTACTAAGGACGAAAAGCCATGGCCATCAAACAAGGGAGTGTGAAAGTGATAAACAATACACGCATTTTCAGAACTTGCATCAATTGGACCAACAACGTGTAAATGGGACGAGGAGGTTAAAATTAAATCTATTTTGGCGAAATACTGGCGAATTCCTGAGCGTGTCTGAGGGACGGGCTAGGTAGGGGTATAGTTTGAGAGTTATTGACATCGGGGAGCTCAATGGTTTTGTAACAATTCGTTGCTGGTCCTACAATAGTTGTACGAATCCTAAACTACTCTATTTCAAGGTCAGGAGCATAGGGATTTTTTTTCGAGTTGTTCCCTTTGCGGCCCTTGCTAGGATCTTGAGAAATGACTCGACTCGGCTCGGCTGATAAGGCCTTGAACCAATGGTAAAAAATGTGATCTTATTCTAATCTTTCTGCAAGGTGCAATACGTGGGATTAGTTGACATGGTATGATATCTCGGGATAAGCTAGTTCCGAGTCATGTGAGCCGGAACTTCAGGTTCCGGCAGGTAATAGCTGTTGTGAGGAGTTCAAGTCCCAACGCCTCAACAAGCCACCAGGACATGCCTATAGCAAGACACAAATGAGCTCCATGCATGCTGAGGTCTCGAGTAGGTAATTGAGTAATAGTTACATTGGTATGAATCATTCCATTTGCTGTTGACATGATACCCTGACAATATAGCCATAGGCCATTGATATTTGTCGGGCTTGACTACAAGGCATAATCAGAGCAACACACCCTGTTTGTCTCTCGAGGGATGACTGGGGTTTTTCTGAAGTTAAGCTGGCATAAATTTCATATCAGTATGCCCGAGCGCAGAAGGTCTAGCTATAAACATGCCGAACTAATGGGAGCGCATTGAGTCTTCTTTACCTAATTGCCGATTTTTTCAATGAAGTCCACAGCCAAATTACTGACTGAGTTGACAAATGGCAGATTTTCCTGCTCAGCAGCCGCCAAAGATGCATGGGAGGAAGTACACCGCGGTGGATTAAATTCTCATGAACGGCAGGCAAGCACAAATTACATTTCCAAAGATTGTCCAATATTGCACAGAGCCACAAAACATAAATTCAATTGACCATATCTTTTGTACGGTGCTTCCGGCAATGTTTGATGTATTGTTAGTGGGTCTCTCACGAGCATGGCGACGTCTTAGCTCTGCGCATGAACTTCCTGCTAACGTTGAAAAGCTCAGTGGTCGTTGTCGGGCCATGCTCACTTAGTGCATTGACACTAATTACACCTGGGTTCCCACATGCGTCAATCTCTTGCTCTGGCCGGCCCTTTACGGCTTATGCCGATCCTGGCCTGTGCTCCAAGTTGTATTGAAGCAAAGATGCTGTAATCGGGTTGTGCCTGGAATTATCCGCGCTAAATGGAAGGATGAATGTGGGTCCTAGACGAAAACAGGCAGCGTCAGAAACTAATGAGTGTGTATAAATTTAGTCTGGCCAACCAGGCTTGGCGAGAACAAAAATCTCGGGTCAATCCCTCTGGCTTATGCGGAGTTTACTATTCATGAGCATTTGACGAAAACTAGGATGAGGAAATGGATTGCTCATCGTCAATTCTGTCCCAACAAGACCTCGTAGGATAAGATGGGGATGATAACGGGATAATCTCAAATTTGATCACCAAAAGGGGATGGATTGCGGTGAACTTTGTGTAATATCTAAAGTACGAGTATCTATGCGTGTAATGTAAGCTGCTCTATATTATCTCAAGCTTGGTGAGTAGTGTAATTTTTCTACAGTGCGATATTCAGGGAAAATGTCAAATTCTTTACAAGGATAAGGAACGTCTTAGCAGTGATCGAATGTTGTCTCAATGATCATCACTATCGTGTGATCTAGTCGATGTCTGAAGGATTATGTAAATAATAAAACAACAAGGGTTCGAGAGAGGAGATACCGACGGAATAATGGCTCCTCATGGCGTGTACCTCAAGGAATACCTGTAGGGTTATTACTATTAGGAAGAAGTCGATAAATAGGAATTGGATGCAGTACACTACCCGAGGTATAGATACTTACGGCCAGTAGCCAGCGAGGTGTTACGAGCGGTGTCAAGGACGCAGAATCAATGGGACAATAATTACAGACAAATACTGCGGGGATTAATGTTTCCTTGGGCAACTGCTGGCGTGGCAACTGTAGGAGGAGTAGGCCCCAAGAGTTTTTAGGATAGAGATTTATTGGGTCAATAGCATTTCCTTACTTCGCATAGTTTGCCTATATGATCATATGCTACTTTTGCTAAGTAAACTCTAGCGCCCAGGGCTGTCCTCTGGTATGGGCCACGCCTTGTACAGTGCTCCTTGTCTCTTTAGTTACTTCAAAGATCATTGATATATTGCCCATGATGAATAGCCAATTAGCACAGTGCTCATCCTTGAACTTCGGCCATCTTTTTCATGAGACTTTCCTTACAAAAAAATAAATAGTTGCAATGGAAACTGTGTGTGCGGGAAAAAGTCTCGAAAAAGCTGCAGCCCCAGCCAGGCGAGGCCTAGACACCGGGATCAGATGAGGCGCGCGTATTCATCTTTATCTCCCTTCTTCGTAACATTCAAGGCAGCTCGATCTAATCCACTATATCCGTATCAGGTGCCGGGTATGCTCGGGAAACTCATCGGATGGCTTTTCCTCCGTGATCAAGGGTTGGCGACGAGAAGGGCTTGGAGCCAGCCATGTGATCTGATCGTGGTTACCTTCATGATGATGGTGAATGGTGGTTATGTCCAGGGATGAAGATGATACATGCCGCGAAAGCGATTGGGGATCCTCACCGAAGTTGAAAAGGTGTTTCACGCTCTCGGCACTGCAGACTCTATAGTGAGAGCTAGAGGTCTGTAGGAGATTCCTAACAACTGTTGCATCATAGTTACCTCGTATCCCGCTCAGTACAAGCACTCAACGCAACTGATGAAGAAAAATTCTTCACCTTCTAGCGGTGCTGGTGTAATCGCTTAGTATGCACTGCATATCTGAGATAACCAAGAAGAATCACATCCGAATTGAGGTCAAAATCAAACACTGCCATTTCTATATTCGACGAATTTTTATCCATCTCGGTCTTATCATTTTCATCCGAGCCCTCAACCTCTTTCTTACCACTAGCCAGCCCGACTCAAAGTCCGATAAAGGCGTTACTCCAAATGCAAACGTGAGCTTGTCTCATTTATTACCAGCCATCTCCCATTACAAATTTACGACGCTACATTTATCGACAGGGAGGAGAATAAGTCATAGGTTTCAAAGCTTGAGATCTAGCTTGTGATTGAACGTTACTTCAATGAAGCTCTTCAACCTTGAGGCCGAAGCGAAGGCTAGGACATGGAATGAGAGGTGAAAGAAGTCTCTCACGGGAATGATGGGACTGTCATTTTTCGAAGGTATTTCGACTTTGTGATGTCGGTGTGCGCCGAGACCAGGGCTGCAGTTAGTTGGCCATGAGTATTACGATCTCCAATGATTCAATGGCACGAAGAAGTCGGCCTGAGCCACCGTACGGCAATCACACGCTGTCCAGACTTTTCTGATATTTCAACACGATATTCGTCGAAGAGAGTGACCTTTCTCAGCACACACTAGTCTGCAGCACCTATCTGGCTGGCCTCTTCCAACGGCTTTGAAGGGTCATTGTGATTTCGGATCTAGTCCTAATGCCGGTGTTAGAAGAGGCCCACACCTAGTGAACTTTGAGATCTCCTCCGGCCGCCATACACCCGCACATGATTCTTGATTCGTTGGTTGGAGGGGGGATATGATAAACTGTGAAGGGCTCCACTGAGTGTATGTTTGAATAAGAGTTTGCGAGGGGTGGCACTTTTTTGGAAATGGAGACACGGAGTATTGTGGACGTATAGGCCCTCCATTTCGTCTAGGTTCCCGACACGATCTGGTGTGTATTTAAGAGGTTGGAATAGGTAATATGGTAGCGCTTCAGGCAACCTATTGGAGATATGAGCTGCTGTATGGCGTGGGCGCAAGGAGGTTATTGGGGGGTTTCTATGCCTAGATGGCTTCACACTCGTTTATGCTGTGACTTAGGCTCTGCGTCGCTTACACTTGTACTTGTAGCGCACATCTCCCTCACTTTTAGCTTTAATCCGAACATGACACTCTTTTAGTCAACTTCTACTTTCGTTCCATGAATATTGCGCCAGTTACATTGCGCGATATTTCCAACACACTGTTTGAGGAGAGCTGTATGGGAATCATAGGAGGGGAGTCACTACTCGCACAAGTATCCTTGGTCTGTAGGTAGAAAGGGTAATAAAATAATTAAGAATGATAACATGTGCTTAGATATCACTCAGCTCTATACGTGTCCTTCGGACTAACCTTTACACCACATGATGTTAGAAATTGTTAAGGGTTTCTTGGAGGAAATATCGCGAAGAATGAATGTACAATTTCGGACAGAACTTAATTGATAGTTGTATAGGATAGCGAACTCTTATTTCAATGTGAATTGACAATATTTAACATTCCATTCATTTAGTTTAACATCTAAAAATAAGTCTAGCCTTAAAAACAGATTCTTAAGGCTTTAGTGATCCTAAACTCTAAGTGATCTGGCAACAAACAGTTACTCTTTTGATTCATTTTCTGCATCCGATTCTAATTGCCTGATGC